CACATGGGGCCGGCACCCCACTCCTTTGAGCCACAGGCACTGCCTGGCATTACTTTATTTTCTCTTAATTTTCATCTCATGAGTAAGGGAGTAGGTTACATCATGATAAAAACTCCTTGGTTGATTATATTAGAAGAATTAAGAAATGATTAAGTCTATTACTGGTTGTTTTTATGCCTGGCATGTCTTTGTAATACCTTTGGTCTCCAAGATCTGCCTTCTTGGAATAATTGTCTTCTTTCCTAATGTCAGTGATTAGGGATTCTCCATACTCTACACTGTTCCTATGTTTCCTGTGACTGTACATACAAAGCAGTAATAAAGCTAAAGTCCAGCAGTTTTTGATTAAGTGCCTTTGTCTAAACATGAAAAATTGTACTTAAAGCCTCCAGTTTCTATGAACTAAGTGAGTTTACTAAAATGATCAGAATCTATACAAGCTTCATCCATGCCAGTGGTAATGCTTAACTAGTAAGTACTAATGGAAACCTTCTGAATCTTTTAAATTGTTATTAATCACATTTTCATTTACTAAATAGAACAAGGCCAATTGAAATTTATAGCTTTGTGGCTGAAAATATGTACTTTGATTTTCTGTGTTGTAACTATTCAGTTCTGCTGTTGGAGCAGGAAAACAACCAAAGACAAAGCTTAAGTGAGCGACGAGAGCTGGAGTGCAATAAACGTTATGTATCAAATCAGGTGGCAGACCATATTTTCTTACCAGGCCCTGAAATATGGGGCACTAATCTTTATAATTTTGTATTTTTTTTTTTTTGAGACAGAGTCACGGTTTGTTGCCCTCTGGAGAATGCTGTGGCGCCCCAATTCACAGCAACCTCAAACTCCTGAGCTCAAGCAATTCTCTTGCCTCAGCCTCCCACCTCCCAAGTAGTTGGGACGATAGCTGCCTGCCACAGCACCTGGATTTTGCTCTCTTTTGTTTTTGTTTGGTTTAATAGGCCCAGGCTGGGTTCAAACCCACCAGCCCCTGAGGATGTGGCTGGCACCCTAACCACTGAGTTACAGGCGCCCCCTCTAATTTTATATTTGTAGTTGTTTATGTAACAAAATAATGCAAGAAAATACTCAAAGAATGATTTTTAAAACCTACTGTATTAATTATGTTTTTCATGTAATTTGAAGTGTGGTTCATGTCCCTTCAAAAGGTTCTAATTATAAATATCTAAAAGAAATGATCATTTTAAAGCACTATATAACTTAAAGTTATAAAATGTGGTGTTATGTTGAATGAGGCTCTTCATATACAAAAAAACACAATATGTTTACATAATTTTTGAAGTAATTATGCATTATATTACAATGTAGTTTTCAAATATAATAGTTGTCTATTCTAACAGATCTCGCTTATACCAAGTGAAAATGTAATGTTTAATTTTTATTTATTTGGACCTTTTCAGATTAATGACCTCTGAGTTTTTAAAGAAATCGAATTGTAAAAGGAGAACTCCATCGGCAAGTACTTCTTCTCATTATTTAGGGACTTTGAAAGTCTTGGACCAAAGGCCTTCACAGAAACAGAACATAGAACCTGACAAGGCAGATGCCATAAGGGCAGCTGTTTATCAGGTAAAAAAAGAAAAATGAAAAAAAGAAAAAAAAACTGATCACTTTCATAAAGCTATACTTTTATCAAAGAATAAAATAAAACTATCAGAATGATGGTTTAATACTTAAGTTTATTACAAGGGAAACATTTTCTTTTATAATATATGAGCAATCTAAAACTATTTTGCTAAATTATTCCCTTCCACAGTTCACTTATCATAGTTATTTTTAAAGGAAGAACATGCTATTTCAGTTTATAGAAATATGGCAGAAGCTAAATTGTTGTACGGTCTATGCATGTTTTTATGCTTTTGCTCCTTGTAGTTATATTATTCTGTAAAAAAAAGGTCTTTAAATTTTTCCTTTCCTGAAACTTTAGACTTACACAGAAAATGATTTTACTAATTTTTTCACAATTCTAAAAAAGGTGGGTTTTGTCTTGCTTTTTATACAGAGTAATATACTTTAGATCATTGTGTTTGTGAATTATAGAGAGAGATGTTAATATATGTAGCCATTATGTTCAGTAAAGTCTATTGTTAATACTAAGAAGGATCACATACCCATAATTTTGTTAACTTATAGCCTTTATGTATTAAAATATTATCAGAGAAAGAAAAATCATATGAGCTTAGATAGAATTTATATATTTTGTGTTTCCTTTTTTGAAGTTTTAATGAAATATTTCAGAAATGGCAGTCCCAATTTATTGGGAAATCTTGAATATCATATAGGCTTTTTCTTGTTTTTATAGGAATGGCTAGAAAAGAAAAATACATATTTACATGAAATGCACAGAATAAAAAGGATTGAAAGTGAAAATTTAAGGATCCAGAATGAACAGGTATTGTGAAATACAGAAGTAAAAATGTTCTTGATGTTTATGTCATTAAAATACCTCTGAATATTTAACTTTTCTAAATCACTCTTTTTAAACAGAAAAATAACGTCTATACTAAAGAACTGATTTCTGATTTTATTTCTGTTGTACTTTATGCATTTTAAACTGATACAAATGTTAATTTTACATGAAAACACAGATTTTTATTTTACATTTGTGTAGAAGAGCTACACTTAGCCAAGAGGATAAAGATAAATGAATACTATACATTCAGTACCCTTCAGTTTTCCTTTTTTGTCTCTTGAATCACATGTAGCTTCCCCACCAACCTTGACCTGAGTTCTTGACCTGGATCCTCTCCCGCTGACTGCTGCTAGACTTCCATTCTAGTTTCTCCTGTCCTTCTGAGTCCCTTCTCTAACTCCTGCTTCATTGCCTGCAACACACTCAGTTCTTTCCTACCTTCCCAAATAAAAGTTCTGGAAAAAACATTTCATTGTGCTACTCAATACTAAAGTAAATTTAGAAGGAAAACGTTTTACAAAGTGAACTGCACTGTAACAAACTGGTCCTGAGCAGAGCAGCATGGCAGGGGTGGTGCCTGTAGTGTAGCATCATTCTGCTGTAGGTCAGGACCACACATCTTCTCGTTAGATTCTCACTGTACTGTGGCAGGTAGTGCTTTGACTTCCAAATTGTTCCCTCCATCATAAGGCATTGTGTCATTTAATACTGTAATTATAAAGCAAACAATATTATGGGATTAGTTTGAATAAGAAAAACGGCAGCATACTTGCAATACAGACTCCTGCATATCTTTTAGTCCGGCATACATTTTCAACATTTTGGATGTAATTGTAGAGTGAGAATGTTATGTTTCAAAGCTAGGGTTCAAACCAAACATTTACTCCTTATTTTGTGACTTTGCCTTACTCTAGCTTACGATATAAGCTTATACCTTTCCTGCCTTTTTTTCTGAAATGTTTTTCCATGAACATTTTATCATACCACTTAGCCTACTACAATTGATTGTCATACATTTATTTAGTATACTTCCAAAAATAATAGTTGACTTCCTTCTCATGAATAGTAGGTCAATAGCTGATAAACGCTTTTAGAAAAGGACATTTTGCGATAATTGGGATAATATTTTTATAAATTAACTTTTCCATTCTAAATTACTTGCTTTGAAACTTAACATATGATGAATATCAAAGGATCAAAGATAAATGTGTGTGTGAGTATCCAGCTCTGGCTGTGTGTCTGTCTGTTATTTTATCCACTACAGAAAAGAGCTGCTAAGAGAGAAGAAGCATTAGCATCATTTGAGGCCTGGAAGGCTATGAAAGAAAAGGAAGCAAAGAAAATAGCTGCCAAAAGGAGGCTCGAGGAAAAAAACAAGAAGAAAACTGAAGAAGAAAATGCTCTCAGGAAAGGGGAAGCACTACAAGTATTCAAGATCTTTGAATATTTTTCTTAATTTGTTTTAAATATTAAAAATCTGAATCAATGCTTAATCGTATTTTTACTTGTTTTATAATATTCACAGTAAGAAAATTATTCTAAACTTTTTCAGGCTTTTGAAAAGTGGAAAGAGAAAAAGATGGAATATCTTAAAGAGAAAAATAAAAAGGAGAAGGAATATGAAAGGGCAAAGAAACAGAAAGAGGAGGAAATTGTTGCTGAGAAAAAGAAAGATAATTTAACTGCTGTTGAAAAATGGTAATCCCAAATCATAGGTCTTTTGATAGATATTGAGAGCACTTTTGGCTTTTCTAACATTTATTTACTTGAAATTTGCTAATACAGTATAGTCTCATTATTGTCAATGACTTTAATGTGTTTAAGGAATCTTCATTATGTATTCTCCTTTCACTTTCCAATATTTTATACTATCCTATAAAGGAATGAAAAAAAAGAAGCTTTTTTCAAGCAAAAGGAGAAAGAAAAAATAAATGAGAAAAGAAAGGAAGAATTGAAAAGAGCTGAGAAAAATGATAAAGACAAACAAGCTATTAATGAATATGAAAAATGGCTGGTAAGTATCTGTTGGTAATTGTACTCATGTCTTTTTCATGCACTTTTTTTTTTTTTTTACTTCCAGGTAGAGATGATCAGTAGTTATGGGATGAATAACATTAGAATTAGGGACAGAATAATCATTCTCTCCACCTGTATATAGTGTATTTTCTTTGATTTACTTATTTCTGTTAATGCTTCCACTATTCCCTCAAACACCTATGCATAAAATTTCAGTTATAACCTTATTCCTAACCTACATCTCCACATTTGCTGTTTACCAATAATGTCCAGTCTTCCTATGCAGTGATTCTGAAATATAAAATCATAGAAAGCAGAAAAGTACATGTGTACTACTGAAAGTATGCCAGATTATTTTGGATGGAACTTGGTCATGACACACAATAACATTGAACTTACTAGTGAGAAAGTTATTCCATTTTTTATTCTCTTTTGCTATCTGTGATGACCTCTAGGAGAAAGTCTTATGTAGGTGTTTGGGAGGAACAATAGCTGGATATTATATGTAAAATATACAGTGAAACCTCTGTAAGCTGACCTCCCAAGGCACTGTAACAAACTGGTCAACACACGGAGGTGGTCAACGTAAGAAATGAGGCTACCGTACTGATAAGTACATGCAGCGCATGCCCAGTCTGTGAAAATTAGGTTAACTTAAGGAGATGGTCAACTGTGAAGGTTCTACATATATTGTATGTATGTTTTGGTTCCCTTCTGTTTATAAAAATTGCTTTTGTTGATGTCAATCAAAGTCCTATTTTCCATTTTCAAATATCAATAAAAATAGGATTTGTTATCAGGTTTTGAGTAAGTAACACATTCTTCTAAGTACTTTACATGGGTAGGTAACAAATTCATGTACATAGTCTATACAATCCCATCATTTAGCAATCCAAAACTGTAAAATTTATCTACTATCTACCCAGTAGAGTTTCTTATCAACTTTTTAAATTTGATTAAAAATTTAATCCCATTCAGCTAATTAAAAACCATCATCTAGGATAATTTTGATTTGTATTTTCTGGTTAGGATTAAGCTTCAGCATCTTTCTTATCATTAGTATAAGGGCTATTTTTATATATACCTTTTTTCTGTAAACTGTAAATTCATAGACTTTGCATATATTTTTATTAGATTGTTGATTCTTTTTTATTTATAGAAATTTTTATGTACTAGTGAAATTAGCCTATCATTTTTTATGCATTGAAGTATTTTTTTTCACTCTATTGTTGGTTTTCCAACTTCGCTTATAGTATTTTATGCTTTAAAGAATTTAATTTTGGCTCGGCACCTGTGGCTCAAGTGGCTAAGGTGTCGGGTTCGAATCCAGCCTGGGCTGCCAAACAACAATGATGGCTGCAACCAAAAAATAGCCGGGCGTTGTGGCGGGTGCCTGTGGTCCCAGCTTCTTGGGAGGCGGAGGCAGGAGACTCGCTTGAGCCCAGGAGTTGGAGGTTGCTGTGAGCTGCGATGCCACGGGCACTCTACCCAGGGGGACAGCTTGCAGCTGTCTCAAAAAAAAAAAAAAAAAAAAGAATTTAATTTTATTTTTATATAGCAAGCATGTTTTTCTTGTCTTTTGGCCTTTGATTTTCTTTTTTGGCCTTTGATTTTCAAGCATCATTGAAAAGACCTCCACACTTTGCGGTTAAGAAAGGTCTCTCATTTTTTTCTAACCACTTGATGAGTTTAATATTAAACTCAAAACGAGGGTTCAAACGAAAAATTTACTCCTTAAAATTTTAAAATTTGTTCTAATTAGAATGTATCCTGATGTATGGTGGGAAATATGATTCCAACTTAATTTTTTTCCAAATGTATCATTTACAAAATAGCCCATCTTTTTCCCATTGATTTGAAGTGCTTTATTTTATGATACATTCTTATATTTTGGGATCTGTTTCTTAACTCTTTGTTCCTTTGTCAATTTCATAATACATGAATGCCAGTGCTACACTGTTTCATTATTATTAGACTTGATATATCTAAATATTTTTCAAGTACATCTCCCTTTATAGTTTTTCATTCATAGTACTTCTGACCATTTTTGTTTATTTTTTCCCTGTAAACTTAAAAATCAGCAGTAGTTAGGTGCATGAAACTAAAATAAACTATTTAAAGATAGGATAAAAAGGTAAAAGATAAAAAAGACAAAACACTTAAGAATAAACTTAAGAAATATGTAAGAGCAATACAAAGACAGTTTTAGAACTCTTCTGAACAATGTAAATGAAGACTTGAGAAAATAGGAAAAAAAACTACTCTTGGAGAGAAACACTTAACTTTACAATGATTGTACAAAAATATCAGCTCTCCCTGAATAATTTAATGCAATCTAATAAAGACAGCAAAGGATTTATTGTTATGTGTTGACTTTAGTACTACTATATGCTAATTCTACACAGAACTAGTAAGAGAATAAGATGATCGAAATTAGTTTGCTATTTAAATGGAAGGTAGAGTTTCATGATGATTTCCTTAGCTTAAACTTTTAAATAATGCTTTGTTCTAAGTAAAAGTGAAAAGTCTTCTTATATTAAGAAGATACATAGTAACTGTATTACTACTTAGGGTAATTAAATGTAAATGTCTTAATTTTCAGATTTACTTCCACATTTTCTTGAAAATGGAGTAGAATTTCCATAATGATTAAGTCACAGTTAAGTACAATATTTTTAATTATATTTATTTAGTCACTTTGTCATTCTCATCAGTCCTCTGAAGAACAAGAACTCATTAAAGAGCAAAGACAAAATAATATTTCAATAGGTAGTAAAACTTCTATGTGTTAAAATACTACCTAAAATAACATAAATATACATGTTACAGATCTATTCTCCATCTTACCAAGTTCTTATTGAAATTGGCTTGCAGGTAGAATGGACATTAATTTTTATGTAAAATAACATCTCAAAATTCTAATACATAATCTAGCTTGAGTAGTAAGCATTTGGTAGATAATTGTTTTAGGAGAAAATTATAGCCCAATATGAAGACTGTTCTTTGTGCCAATTCTCAGGTAAATTCACAATTACCTTTAATAGGAAATTAAAGCAAAAGGTTCAGTCTCTCACAGATGCAATCAGATTTTTCAACAAGGTTCTTTAAATTATTGTCAAGGTGATATTATTGATTCCTGTTAATTGATAGTGAGGTCAATAATTGTCCATTTGCTGTCCTGGCTTTTCAGCCTCCTGCTGCTGAGATCAAGCTTGTTTCAAATAACTCTGTCCGTGTTCACTGGAATGTACAAAAAGAGTCTGTCACTTTCTGTGGATACAGCCTCGGTGCTTTTCCTCCACCTGTGGAGGTCTGCCTCTTTCTAAAATACTAAAATGATTGATGATGATCTCATCACAGCTTTTCTTTTCTCAAAAGGAGGGAGGGAAAAAAAGTCAAAACTATTAGAATTTTAGGGCAGCACCTGTGGCTCAAAGGAGTAGGGCACCAGCCTTATATACCAGAGGTGGCGGGTTCAAACCTGGCCCCGGCCAAAAACTGCAAAAAAAAAAAAAAGGAGGGAGTACAGTGGGGTGGTCTCAGTGTGTGACACACCCTTAGGGACAGGACACAATTATGAGGGACTTTAACAAATGCAGTCAATATAACCTGGTTCTTTGTACCCTCAATGAAATGCCCCAACAATAAAAAAAAAAAAAAAAGATTCTGAAAGGAAGTTGCCTCTTCACGTTAATAGGAGTGGCAAACAAACAAGCATGCCAACACTCTGCCGACCCAGAGCCAGACGTGGGTTACTGAGGAAAGAGGCATGCGCACCTCAGACTTCACCCTGAAGCCTCTACCTCCCAGGCGTCAGCCTGCAGGGCCAGGGTTGTGCAAGGGTTCCCTGGTACTGCTGCTCTTTGAGGAGAGAGAGTCAATCACCAAGATAAGGAAACCTCCAAATTTTGTGGTATTAACAGAGACTCAGAGAAATGGAGAGACAAGCCAAATTGCAGGCTGGAAAGACCCAGCAGTACGAACATTTCCCGTATGCCTAGATAAATGCTTAGATTTCATACTAATCCACAGATACTCAGTTAAACTATTTCTTTGAAGGAAGTATGTTGAAGGAAATGAAATGGTTCTCAAATTCAACTGTTCAATACAAAGGTAAAAATATGGAAAGTAAATACTTTGAAAATAATACGAAGCAGGGCTATTCCTGTCAAGCAATAAAATAAAAATTTACTATTCTAGTCCAGCATTCTATCCTCCTGAATTATCCCCGTCATGTTCTAGGTTTAGAACAGGAAATTTTATAAAAATAAACTCTTAACTCCGCATTTTTCTCCACGAGTTGTCTCACTTTTCTCTGCTTTTCTTCATAGCAAAACTAGTAGAAAGTTTTATCTACACTTTGGTGGGTCTCCGCATCTTTTTTAGTCTTCTCCCACTTTAGTCTGGTCTGTGTCCTCATCAGTACCCCCAAACCACAGGAAAGTTACAGGTTTACAGCTAGATAGTCTGATGTGTGTATCTGCCCCCATTCACTGGAATGTCTCTGCATTATACGCTATAAACTTCCTCCTGGCAAGTGTTTCCTCCTTGGCTGGCATGTTCCTCTCCCAGAGAAGTGTTCCTCTCACCTCCCTGTGTGGCTTCATTCGTTTAACATGGCTCCAAAGCACGGTATGAGTGATCGCACTCTTCTACCTTCTCATTGTCTGTCATCTGGCTCCCCATGTCTTGTCTTTAGCCTCCCACCAACGTAGTTGCACTGGCAACCTTTTGTTCTTTCTCACATCTCAAGTTGTTCCCATTTGTCAAAGCGCTCACCTCTTCTGTTTTCTCTGCTTGAAGTCCTCTCCGCCAACACTTTACACAAGTGGCTTCTCTTACCTATCGTGTCTGACTTTAAAGCAACTTCCCCTGAATCTACTTTTCTTTTAAAGTAAGCCCTATTATAAAATTAATTTATAGCTTTCATATGAAATCTATAACCTAATAGCAACCTAAGAATATGGGGAGAGGGGAGGGAGAGGGGAGGAGGGAATGAGTGAAGGGAGAGTGATTGGAGGGATTCACTTCTATGGTTTATCTTACAAGGGTCCAAGTGAATCTTTCTAAAAGTAGAATATAAATGTCTTAACATAATAACTAAGAAAATGACATGAAGGCTATGTTAACCAGTTTGATGAAAATATTTCAAATTGTATGTGAAAGTACTACACTATACCCCATGATTGCATTAATGTACACAGCTATCATTTAATAAAAAAAAGAAAATTCACAAAAATCTAAATAAATGTTTGATAATGTGCTAAAACTCAATAATACATAAAGAAACATGATGTTGAATTTTCAACTATTTGTAAAAAATTTAAAGAATCTCATGTTGCTGTAAACTTTATACATAGTAAATTGCCTTCTGAGAATCTATTCTCAGAAGTCCTCACTAACTTTTGGTAACTACTGTCTTTGAGGTGTAGAATTATGGATTTTATTTCTATTTTACAAATTCATTTTTCATGTTATAACTTTTAATAGTAAAAAGATTAAGTGTTGTTAATACCTATTGATAATATAAATTGGTGGCATTCTTTGGCTGTTTTTTATAACCCATTAAATTAGGGAGTAATATATAAAATGGATTATTTTATTTTTCACTAAGCAAACTGATTTGAAAATAATGTTTACATGTATATATAAATATATCGTTTTCTACTTGCTTTTCAGGAAAATAAAGAAAGACAGGAGAGAATTGAACGAAAACAAAACAAACGTCATTCCTTTCTTGAAAATGAAGCACTTCCTCCATGGAGCCCTCCAAGCAGAACTATATTCTCAAGAGTGTTTTGATAATTCTGGTTCTTACTTATTTAGCTATTTATCAATTTGCCAATTTTAGCCAGGTATTTAAAAATGTTTATTGAATTATTTTTAGTTAGAAGAATCTATTTTGATTAAATGCCAGACTCTTCTACTGACAGTGAAAAAGATACTTTGGAGTTAATCAGTGAAAACATTTTTGAACTGTAGATAAACTGCCTCAAATGATAAGGTAATAATCAGATTGTCTGTACCATTAAAATACATAAAGTTTTGTCATGTCTTGGTAATTCCTCCAGGGGAGTGATTCATGATCTCCTCACCAAGCGGGGCATGTCATTTAAGTGTATTTAATCCAAATAATAAGAGTGAAACAATCTAGGTACTGTAATCATAGAAGTAATTCAAAATGTGGATGGTATGCATCTTGATTCATGTTTGTAAATGAATGATCATTCTGAAACTGATTTTCTGTGCCAAGCAGTTACGTTCACACTGTGCGAGTTAGAATTTTGGTCAGTTGAGGCAATAGCTCAGTAGAATTTTAATCATTGAGGCATTTAAGAATTTTGCCTCAGGTTTTAATATGAGTGCACTTTATTCCAAGGCTTATATGACAATCTTAGGCACTGAATAATGAATCCATCATAGAAATTTTTCTTTCTAGATTCTATTTCACTTTATAATTTCAGTGACCAAAAGACATTATTTTCATGGTAGTGGTTATCTTGCACATTAGTTCTAGAAATTCCATAGGAATAGGAGTCCAAGATGATTGTCACTGTAATTATTTTCTAGATTAAAGCCATAAACACTATGAAAGTAATTGTCCTTTTAACTAAGCCAGAGTTTTATAGCTGATCTTTAGAAGACAGCTGTATGCGAAGATAAATTTGTAGAAAACATCCAGAAAAATATTATTTATTTATTCTCTGTATGTCCTTGTATTAATTGGTCTCATGCTTAGCTGGTCATCTAATTTACGGCAGACCAAGTATATATTCTTAGAATTCAACCTAGTCAGTCATGCAGTGCAGAGACAATAGATAAAAATATTTAACTATTAACTACCTACAATATTGTCTCTGCTGGATCTTTAAAATGACTATTCAGAGTGGGTGATACTAGTTTCAATTTTCAGATAAAAATGCTGAGACTTAGAGAAAGCAAATAACTTTTCATACATATGGAGCGTGACTGAGTTGGGGTCAGAACTGATTAAGTCC